TTCAATTACCTTCAGTTTGAAGTCTATTTTGTTACATATTAGGGTAGCTACACCAGCTTGCTTTTCAGGTGCATTTGATTGGAAAGTCTTTCCCCACTCCTTTACTCTGAGGTAATGTTTTTCTTTGAAGTTGACATGGTTTTTTTGTGTGCAGCAGAAGGGTGGATCCTGTTTTTGTAGCCACTCTCATAGCCTCTATCTTTTAATAGGTGAGTTGAGTCCAAAGATATTAAGGGATATCAATGACCAGTGATTGTTGATTCCTGTAATTTTTTGGTGGTGTTGGTGTGTGTTCCCCTTCTTTAGGATTTGCTGGTGTGGGATTATGCATTGCCTGTGCTTTCCTGGGCATCTCTATCCTCCTTGGGTTGGACTTTTCCTTCCAGAACTTTCTTTGGGGCTGAATAAGTTGGCAAGTATTGTTTAAATCTGGTTTTGTCATAGAATATCTGGTTTTCTCCATCTATGGTGATTGAAATTTAGCTGGGTATAGTAGTCTGGGTTGGTATCCATGGTCTCTTACAGTCTGCATAATGTCTATCCAGGAACTTCTGGCTTTGAGTGTCTTCATTGAGAAGTCCTGTGTTATTCTGATTGATCTGCCCTTATTGTTACTTGGACTTTTCCTTTTGCAGTTCTTAATATTCTTTCTTTATTCTATATATTTTGTGTTTTTATTATGATGTGAGGGGAATATTATGTGGAAGTAGCCTTGAACACATTGGCACAGGAGATCACTTCCTAAATAGAACACCAGTAGCACAGACATCGACAGTGACAACTAATAAATGGGACCTCCTGAGACTAAAAGCTTCTGTAAGGCAAAGGGCACTGTCAATAAAGCAAAATGACAGCTTAGGCTACCAGAGGGGCTTTCTGGCAGTAAGACCATGATACAAACCTGGTACGTGAGATAGCTTGGAGGAGTCCATTCCCTCTGGTGAGATGCCATGCTCAGTCTTAATGCATGGCAGGGGCTTGGCCTTGCCCTAATCTACTGTGTCAGTGTTTATTGACTCCTCATAGAGCCCTTATTCATGAGGGGTGGCCTGGGGGTTGTCCAGAGGGGAGGTGGGGGCGCGGGTAGAAGGAGGGATGGGAGGAAGAACTATGGATGGAATGTAAAATGAAATTGAAAGAATAAATAAGTTATAAGAAAATACCATTCATTCCTAAATAGTGCATTGTGCAAGTTTTACTTGTGTGGACCACCCACCTACAGATAATGACAGGAAGACTTCTTTTTCAACTTAATTTTATTTCATTAACATCTTTTCATGTACTTTGCATAGCAACCACATTTTCCCCTCCCTCCACTCCCTTCTCCTGCCTCCCCCCCTTACCATCCACTCCTCTGTCTCCAGAAAGATGCAGGCCTCCCATTGGCTTGAATAAAGAATGACACCTAAATTGAGGACCTAGCTTCTTCCTCTGCATGAATGCTGGGCAAGGCAAGTTAATGTAGCCTAGCCTGGGGACCAGGTTCAGCAAGACTTCTTATTTATGAATGCTTGCCCTTTACCTTACACGTTTCCCCAGCTACAGTATAATTTCATTTAATCTGATTTAATTCATCTAAAACCTGCCCCATGCCTTTTTTTTTTCTTTTTCTTTTTTTTTCCTTTTACCTCTCCACCATCCTGCATGCCTACCTCTGTCTGCCTGGAGCTGGTATCTCTGTTCAGCTAGATTCATCTCTTCTGCTCTCTCCCAGGAATTCCCATCTGCCCTCTCCTGCCTAGTTATTGGCCATTCAGCTCTATTAAACTAATCAGAAGTTTCCTTGGCAGCGACAGATCTTCACAGTGTGCAAAAAGATCACTCCACACAGTATTGCTTTATCATTTTGAAGTACAGCTGATTTAATGCCCATTTTAATGCTGTAGTAAGGTTAAATCAGGACATATAGAACAGAACTGACCTCTGAGCCTAATAGTTATGTCAAAGTCTTGACTCACAGGCATGCATGTCATACTGTGGATCTGGAGGTGAACAAAAGACTGAGTCCCCATTGCTGTCTTAAACCAAAACAGTAGCCACACTTCTGGTGGAAGCTTTACCCCAGCCCCTGGCAACCACAGACACAAAGACTCTGGAATGTAATGATAGAAGTCCCACCGAAGCCCCCTCCCCCATCTCACTCCAAACCCTACTGCATCTCAGAAATCCCGCCAAATGATGACCCTTCTCCCAGAGATGCTCAAGACCACTCCCACAGGGTATTCTAACTGCCTCCCAGACAATCAACTGGTGGTTTTCTTGTCTCTCTTTCTCTTCTCCTCCGTTGGAAGAAGGCCATCCAGGAGCTTTCTAAGTACTAAACGTGGGCTTTTTCTAATTCACTTTGATTTGGCCTGATTTGGATTGCTGCATTAGTGGAGAGGCTATTTGGGGTGTAGAAACATTTCAGGAACCACATTTTTATACATTGTTATTAAGTCTCCGACGCTTAAAAGTGTAAGTTCCTTATTCCTAAGCCTAATGTACCCTGCAAACCATGTTCCAATCAATGTGGAAGTTGTATGACCCCCATGATGTATGCTCACCGTGTGCCTTATACAAATAACCTGTGATGGTTGTGCTTCTGCCTTAAGAAAATGTTTTTCCAGATAGCTTGATGATTATTGAACACCCGCTCTTTTTAATATCATCCATTTTCACAGCTAATTATCTCGACAGCTGTGTTCTATGAACCCTAACGCTTCCACACAAAGGGACCACAAAAGGCAATGAGGGGCTACTCAAATGCTGACTTTGGGAAAGAAAGCCACCTGGCCACTTCCTGGTGCTCCTGTAAAATAAAGCTTGCTTTAATCAGACATTCGTGCAATTGGTTTTTCTCAGGCTAACAGCTGTCCAGCATATTGTGCCCAAATTCTGAACCCCATGCTCACGAAGAGACCCATTCCAGTGCAAAAGCAATTAGTCTCTTTGTTGTTTTGTTTTGCTGTTTTGTTTTTCAAGACAGGGTCCTCTATTGCCTCTGAAGCTGCTCTGGAACTAACTCTTGTAGATATTATTAATGATTTGACTGCATTAACTCAGGCACTCTGTCCATTTCACATGGCAGTGGAGTAAGAAGGAATTTATTGGGGTGTGCAATTTTTGTGGGAGTGCCTAGGGTATGCTTCCAGGTTTGGGCGCCCTGTTCTGTGTTGATTGGTCAATTGGTTGTTGTGGCCCTCCCAGGGTGGTTGCTCTTTGTTAGGTCTTTATTGTTAAGTCTCAAAAAAAAAAAAAAAAAAAAAAAAAAAACAAAAAACAAAAAACAAAAAACAAAACAAAACAAAAAAAACCAAACCAAAACAAAAAAAAAGCCACCCGGTCCCCCCCCCCCACCCCCCGCCCTGGAGACAGCCAGCTAACTTCTGATTGGTTCCTTGCCCACTGGAGTGTTTGTGACCTCCTAGAGTCTAAGGCAGTTCCTGCAGAGTGAGAAAGCTGGAAACTAAGTCTGTCTTGCAGCCCAAAGCAGGTACCTGGGTGACGATCTGATTCCTTTACAGCCTACCATTGCTTCCTCTTAATCTCTACTGCAGGCAGCCAAACGCAAGTTCAGGAAGAGTAAATATCACCAGGCAGGAGTCCTTTACTCAGACTTCTGGGAAATGTAGTCCATGCGACTGTGACGTCAGAGAACCGTCCAGGAAAGGTTTTTCCGACTTTGGTCTTTCCATGTGCTTCTTCCCCAAAGTTGGGCGGGAGTCCTGCCCTGCTGGATCTTCTGCTGCGTCCCTGACTTGGAGGTTGGTGCAGGGCGCAGCTCAGCCTGAGGCTCTGTGCGGGGTGCGGATCCGTCTTGGAGGGAGCGGACCTGGGCGGGGTGGGAGGGCGGAGAAGCTGCCCTTGGAGGTGCTGTGCTGAACCCGCTGGGACGCAGGAGGTTGAGGGTCAGGGCTGGGGAGAAGGCGATAGGGACTGCTCCCTGGGTGATGGTTTTCTTAGGACGTGCAGCCCGAGTCCGCCTTGGGCTTCTGGGACAGGAGAGCTGCCTGGGAGCGCGGATGATAGGGCAAGGTCCGGGACTGCAAGCTAATGATGATCAGCTGACTGCCTGCTCCTGAAGTGGAGCTGGGGGCTCACTGAGCAGCTTTGGTAGGGAAGCATGCCTCACTAGCTGAGCTATTCTTAGGTAGATGCTGTCAGATTTCTCAGTATCTCAAAGCAAGCAGGGTTTCTGACACCTCCTGTACTCTGTCCTGCCTGGTGTAAGGGTCTCGAGATCTTGATTGTGTTCGTATTTTCTGCCTGTTAGAAAATGAAAAGAGGAAAACCCCGAGTCCCATTGGTTCACTGGTATGAAATTCTGAAGTGTATGTATTCCTTATCTGTGGTATAGGAGGACGTGGCACTGAATTCATGTTGTGTGGACGCTTTCATTATACACTTCATCTGCCTTAAATGGATCATGTCCAGCTGGGCTTATAGGATTTTTTTGAACATGGTTACTGTGAAATCATGTGACTACTTCAGCAATGTCTGAAGAATATTACTCACCAATGTACAACATTTCTAGCTCTCTTTCATGATGTGCAAAATCTCCATTTGGGTCCATGGGCACACAATGCCTGTGTAGGGTTTCTATTGCTGTGATATAGACCTTGAAGAAAGACAGCTTTGAGAAGAAGGGTTTTATTGTAGACTACAACTTCAGGTAACTGTCCATCACTGAGGGAAGTCAAGGCTGTAACCTGAGGTAAGAGCTGGAGCCAAGGCCACAGACTTGCACAGCCTGCTTTCCTATACCACATAGGACACCTGCACTGGACAGGCACCATCCACAATGGACTGTGCTGTCTCATATCAATCACTAATTAAGAAATGCACTCTAGGCTTAGTGATAGGACCGCCTTAGGTATTATTGTTTTCTATTTCTCTCTTCTCAAATGACCTTAGGAAATGTCAAGTTGATAGGGAACTGTCTAGCTCAATGTGATTGGTAGTTATATTATTTATTTCTTTAATTAAAGTATGGTATTCTAAAATGATTTTTGTTTCAGGAAATGTTGTCCTTCTGGGATGTGGCCATTGAGTTCTCTCCGGAAGAGAGGGAATGTCTGGAGCCTGCTCAGTGGAATCTGTACAGGGATGTGATGTTGGAGAATTACAGCCACCTTGATTTCCTGGGTGAGGATCTCATCCATAGTAAATTCTTATTTCACCATCAACATATATCATACTTGCTTTTTATTGTATCTCATGGGAACATTTCAACAATGAGTTTCATATTCTTTATTCTCAGACAAGTTAGCAAGAGTTCTGTATTAAGCATTTTGGTGCTTGACAGATAGTTCCATGGTTAAGAGCACTGGCTGCTCTTCTAGAGCCCTGGGGTTCGGTTCTAGCCCCCACTTAGCAGCTTACAACTGTCTGTAATTCCAAGATCTGACACCCTCACACAGACATACATACAGGCAAAACAGCATAGCACATAAAAATCAAAAATAAATTAAGAATAGAAATCATTTCACTTTTTCTCTTTTTGTATTTAACCTGTGTTGGATGTATGTTTCCTTCACTCTAGTGGGACTGTTAGAAATTCAGTGGCATGAGACATGGAGTACACTTGTTAATGAAAGTCTTTCATATTTAGTTTCCATGTTTTTTCCCTTTAAATGAAACATAGAATCTGGATGTTGTAAATTCCTTTATGTCCTGTAATAATTTTGTCAGAAATCATTTACAGACCTGATTTTATGGAGTAATTTATTACATCATCTCTTTCCTTATCAGCCCTGTTCTGGAAGGGACTTGTGAATTCCCAGTAGAAGAACACCTAAACAATTCTGTTCCCTTTTCTACAAACAGGTCTTGCTGTCCCTAAGCCACACTTGGTGACATTTCTAGAACAAAGACAAGAGTCTTCACATGTGAAGAGGCAAGCAGCAGCCACCATGCACTCAGGTGTGTAGGAGTGAGGGGTCAGGATTGAGGTCAACAGAAAGGTAGAATTCCCTATGTGCTTATAAACATGGTTCTATGGGGATCATTCTTTAGGTCTCTCTTCATGGCTTTGTTGTCAAAGCACATTTCTCAGATGTTTAAGATGGTTTAAGTCACTTCAGCTTTGTATTTCCCCAACAGTGAGCTGTGCTGCTATCTACAGTGACCTGCAAGGATTTTCTTTTTGTTGAGTCTCCACTGTAGTGTAAGACTCAGGGAAAGAGAACTCGGTGATGGTCAGACTGAGAGTCATTTCGTCACTTTTATGCAGATGTTGACAGTAGACTCATGCCAGAAGGATCTCAACAACAAAGTGAGCATGATTGGGTTCATAAAGCCAAGCCCACAATTCTATTACAGAGACTCGGGTTGCCAACAGATCAGAATAATTTGGGTATAGTGAGCAATCGGATAAAACTCAAAGTGGAGTCCTTTGGATAGTTCATTCCCCACTGATCTTAGGGAAGATTCAAAGTATTAACCTATTGTAAAAGGGATTCTGTTGGGACATTGAGAACATAAATATGATGGGTGCTATTTCCTTTTTTTCAACACTTTTATCACCAGTTGGTTCATCAGGGTCTGATTATTCTGCCTAGGAAGAGTAGGACAGGATGACCAACAAGGTCCTACACTGTTGATTCATGGGTGTCCACCATCCAATTTGGGTACAGTGACTGTGTGCCTCTCTTTCATGGCAGTTAGTAGAGTTAGGTCTTTTTGTGAATTGTAAGGTTCCTTGTTTTGGGTTGTTAAGTTATTTTTTTTTTTTTTTTTTTTTTTTTTTCTTTTTTTAGGTTAATGTCTTTAACATAGGTATAACTAGTCACAACTTATATTAGAAATTATAAACTTCTATATTCTCAGATACATCAGAGGTAGTAAAATGTTTTGTTTCAGATCCCAGTCAGGGTAGCACTGTGGCTAGTCCAATAGTCCAATAGAAAGCATTATGGATAATGTTACTATTTTGATGAAGCATTCTTGTGGAGCCTTCTGAAGATGTCTTGTTGATTTTCAAACTTCCTGAAAGTGCATATTTGCATTGTCTTCCAGATTTATAATGTGATTAGCACTGAGAAATGTAGGCCAACTTTTTCGTCAGGACCAGGATTAGCTCTCTCCTGCCAGCCACTCCCAAATAACCACTGAAAGACTTAATATTAATTATAACTGTTCTGCAGATAAGCACAACTTATTACTCACTAGCATTTAAGTTATCCCATTTATCTTATTTCCTTTCTGCCATGTGGCAATATCTTTTCCCCAGATGACATGTTTATCTCTACCTCCTCTACATCCTGGTAACTCCTCTGGCTCTGCCCTTCCTCTTCCCAGTATTCTCTCTGTCCCAAAAGTCCTGAAATGAGTCAATCATTTTTTCATTAACAGTGCAAGCAATACATCTTCACAGAATGCAGAAGGATTATTCCACAGCATTTTCTGCTTTTTGTCTAATTACAAAGGAAAATTTTACACTTACAATATTTAGTTCTTTTATATTTGGAAAATTTAAAGAAAATATTATGTATTTGATCTTTGTGTTCCAAAAAAGTGTTATATCTAATTTACCTTTTGTCATGACTAAGGAAAACTTTAAATCTAATTATTTAGTCTTTAACTCTGTCAAAGATCCCAGAAGGATGAAATGTACAACAGGGATATCTGTCTGCCTGGACAATCACTCAGTTCTTTTGTAACATTGGGGCACCTTCTTTGGCCTAAATATCTAGAATATCTGTCAGATATTTTTCAGAAGCAGGGCATTTTGAAGGACTCTCCTACCTTGTCTTGGCAAAGTTGGGTATTCACTTTATTTTGTGTCTTTGTCATTCAGTTTGGACAATATATTATCAACCATTGAGGCAACGGAATATAGGAGTTCTAATTGGTCTAATAAAAAAAAAAAGGAGTCAGATATCAAAGTAAATGCTGAAAGATCAGAGAAGGAGGCAGCCACTGAACAGTTCTGATCTCTAACAAATTCTCAGGCAGAAGAGGGACAGACTCCTTCCTCTATCCACCTTATCACTTCCTTTCCACTCAGCCATATCACTTCCTGTCTCCTCTTTCCAAGTGCTGGGATTGAAAGTGTATTGCACCACTGGCTGGTCTCTATGCTTAACTCCTGGCTACCTCTGCCCTCTGATCTCTTGGCCAGTTTGATCTGTCACAACACAAACAAAATATCACCATAGTTCACCTTTTTTGAATAAAATAAAAAAGGAGGTTATAACTGATACAAGAAAAACTATGTATGGTAAGTACAGTAAGTATGTACAATGTATACAGGAAACAATTACATCACCAATGTCTAGTCCATTAACAATTAACAAATTCAGAGAAAATACTCCATTATCTACCCTATCTTGGTGAATCCAAAATGATACACCTAATTCATTTTCTATTCTACTTTGAATTACCAAAACTGTCTTTTATTGTCTCTCAACCCTATCTTCTTTGCACCTTTGTAGTGAATTTATTTTCCGAATCTGGTTTCAAGGAAAACTATAACTATAAAGTTTTCACCTCCATCACAGACCCAAGATGGAAATAATAATACCTGAGTAAGTAGGAAGTGCAAACAAGCTACTCCAAATAATGTGAGAAATGACAGAAACATCTGGCTGCCTCGACAGTCACCCAAGGTTCCTCTGCAGTCTCGGGGCATCCATCTTTGGCCTAGCATATCGGACAGACTTTTCTGTGAAGCAGGATACTCTGAAGGGCTGTCTTATCTTGTCTTGGCAAAGTCTGGCAGTTCTTTCTTTCATGTCCTGCTTGTTTGATTTGGACAGCATACAGTCAGCAGTCGAAGCAAGAGCACTTTCTTTCCCAGTGGCTAACTTTTGCTACAAAGAAAGTAAACTCCATATGGGGTTTATTTGATGCCCATCTTCTCTGAAGTAGACTGTGCTGCCAGGAGCAGACATCTCAACATCCTGAGGTACCAGGATGTAGAGGAGATAGAGATAAAAGAAAAGAAAAAAACCTATGTTATTAAAACATCTTAAATGCCACATTCTGTAAATCTCTGAATGTTTGAAGATAACCTGTCTGAAATATATCTCTGTTTGACCTTAGAAATGTAGCTAACATGATTACAAGTTGATTATAATAGGTGACCAACTACTAACCTTGTATTTCAAGGATTAGAAATTTTCATTACGTTGTTAAATGAGTTGCATAGGTACAATACCTTAAACAAGAGTAGAAGTATATGTACAGTGTGCTCTAACAAAAATAACCTCAAATTTGTATCAATATCCAAAATCCAAATCAATGTAAAATATTTAAAACGACTAGTTGCTGTTTTGGTTTAAAAGTAGATTCAAAATATGTCTCTCCTTTTTCTTTTCTGAGTAGATTCACTATTTTACCCTTTCATCCTATCTTATCTATAACCTCTGTTTTCTAAGTATTTTCAATAATATACCCTTTCATCCTATCATATCAGTATCCCTCTTTTTCTTTTCAAACAAAATCTCTGAATCTAATCTCCTTTGTTTGGATTTTTTTTCCTGCCAATTAGCAATAACAACTTGTAAGCAACCACCCTAAATGATGACAAGTATTCTGAACCCATTGAATGACCAAAGACTACCCAACCCACCTCTTGGGAATGTGGGCAATACGTTCTTAAACCTACTTCCTGGTGTCTGGGGATGATGGCATCTTTATGGGAGTCTGAGAAATAATTGGGGTAATTACCAAGTCCTCGGTGAGCTAGCTGTGTGATTTGTTGTCCAGGTTGAGCGTAACGGGAAAGTACAGGGATTATCTCAAGTCCTAGCTAGACTAGTCTGTGAGGCTGGATCACCTCAGCTAGCCATCTTGAAATTATTCTGACAGTTTGTATTCCAAAAGCAGATCTTTAGATGGTGTTTGTCAGCTTAGTGGCATTACCATAGTACTTTCTGTAGGGTTGGATTTGTAGATAGGTATTGTTTAAATCTGGTTTTGTCATGGAATATCTTGCTTTCTCCATCTACAGTGGTTAAAGGCTTTGCTGGGTATATTAGTCTGGGTTGGCATCCTTGGTCTCTTAGTGTCTGCAGAACATCTGTCTAGGATCTTCTTTCCATACATAGAAGAAGGCAAATGGCTGGAAGATACTTAAGGAATTGCTCAACATCCTTAGCCATCAGGGAAATACAAATCAAAACAACTTTGAGATACCATCTTACTCCTGTACTTAAGATCAAGAACACTGATGACAGCTTATGCTGGAGAGGATATGGAGAAAGGGGAATGAACACTCCTTCATTGTTGGTGGGAGGGTAAACTTGTACAATCGCTGTAAAAATCAGCGTGGCCATTTCCCAGAAAATTGGGACTCAGTCTCAAGACCCAGCAATACCACTCTTTGACATATACTCAAAGGATGCACATGCATACCACAAGGACACTTGCACAACCATGTTCATATCATTATTTGTAATACCCAGAACCTGGAAACAAAGTACATGCCTATCAACTGAAGAATGGATAAGGAAAATATTTCATTTACACAATGGAGTACTACTCAATGGTTAAAAAAAACAAAACAAAACAACCCCCCCAAAAAAACAAAATCAAAACAAACCAAAAAACAATGACATCTTGAAATTTGCAGGCAAATGGATGGAACTAGGAAAAAAAAAAAATACCCTGAGTGAGGTAAGTCAGACCCAGAAAGAAAGACTGTAAATAGTCACTCATAAGTAGATATTAGACATAAAGCAAAGGATAATCAGCCTACAGTCCACAACCCCAGAACAAGTAGGTAACAAAGAGAACCATAAAAGAGACATACATGGACCCCCCTGGAAAGGGGAAATAGACAAGATCTCCTGTATCATGTTAAGAAAGCCACCTTATATGGTACAGAAGAAAAGCCAACTTTAGGAACTATTTTATTGCCACGAATCTCATAATCCTTTGGTTTTATTTTGAATCTTTAACACTTTTCTTAAGGTGTAAATATCTCAGAACTTATAAGATATATACATATCTGTTAAACTTTTGTATGATTTAATGATCATATAGAGTACTAATTCTAGAAAAAAAAAAAAGCTTCCTCTAGCTTCCTGTACATGATTTCAGGTTTGAGTCTCTATCAGGTAACTAGGAATTAAGTTTTTGTACTCTGGTTGTACATAAAAATTATGGTCCTTTAACCTCTGTGAGATCTGGTGCATATGACATTTAAAATGTTTATTACTTAAGTGAAGGATAACCTTTTATAACAGTGACCACTGAGCTCTCCAAATGGATGATGGGGCCCCCATTTGGAGCATTAGATGTTCAGAACAGAGACTTCATTCTGATGGATTTTTCCTGTGATGAATGTGAAATGTCCTTATTTATCTCTTTTGATTAATTTTACTTTGAAGGATAGCTACACCAGCTTGTTTCTTAGGTTCATTTGATTGGAAAGAAAATCATCTGCAACCCTTTCCTCTGAGGTAATGTCAGACTTTGAAGTTGAGATGTGTTTCTTATATGCAGCAGAAGGATGAATCCTGTATTTGTATTCATTCTGTTAGCCAGTGTCTTTTTTTTTTTTTTTTTTTTTTTTTTGGTGAATTGAAACCATTGATATTAAGATATTAATGACCAGAGATTGTTATTTCCTATTGATTTTTTTTTTTTTTTTTTTTTTTTTTTTTTTTGGATGGTGGAGGTATTGTGTGAGTGTTTCCCTATTTAGGGATTTGCTGATGTGGGATTATCTATTGCTTGTGTTTTTGTGGGTGTAACCAACTTCCTTGGGTTGGGGTTTCCCTTCTGATACTTTCTGTAGGGCTGTTTTTGTGGATAGGCATTGTTTAAATCTGGTTTTGTCATGGAATATCTTGTTTTTCCCCTCTATGGTAATTGAAAGCTTTGCTGGGTATATTAGTCTGGGTGACTTAGTTTAAATAGTGCAGAGTTGAGCCTGTTGTGCCCTCTGGTCCTGTGGCAGAGTCTCTGTCATGTATTATCTGCCACTTTGTTTAGGACTAGAGTGTGGTTGCCTTACCAGTTGGGTGGCAGGCATAGTTACAACATTCCCCTCTGTGTCTTTAGTTATCCTTTGAGGAGACATGGAGTGCTGAGAAATGGTAATGAATGTCTCCATTCTTGACACGTTGAGAGTGTGGTGCAGAATCTAGGATCCTGTTCCAGCGTGAGGGAGTACACCCCGTCTTGTGACACCTGAGGAGTGATTCATTTCTCTATAAAGAATAGCATATCCTGGTCTGGTTTCCCAGCCAGAGAGACACAGGAGTGCAGACCCTGACAACTCCTATTTCCCATGCATCCTTAAACTTGTTCCAGTCACCTGCTTTAGGCTTCCCTTTGAAGACATGTAGAGAGACCTGTATTGTGAAAGGCAGAAAATTTTCTCTCTCCATAATATTGTGCCTGTAAATGAATTGTATTCATATTTAGTATGAATATAAATACAACTCTGGGCACTAAGTGTTTTTTATCATTCATTAGGTGACGCATTAACTATTATGTCTTAATGAACTTGGTTGTAACACCTTGCAATAAAATAGTGACTCTCATCAGATTATGGCTTGATAAGTGAAAGTAATTTATTTCTATTAAAAATTTTACACTCTATAACTATGATTGTTGATTTGAAAGTTTTTTTTTTTTTTTTATACCAAAACATTTTAAAAACAAATACATTCCATGGAGGCAATAGACAGTGCGGTTTGCTGATCCCTTTATACTATTCTTTATAAAATCTAACCCAGTCCTGCAGGACTTTCAGGAATACCATAAGGGAGAGCTCGGGGCTGGGGGTGAAAAGCTTGAAGAGGAATAGACTTGGGCTTGCCCAGGCCCACTAATAGAGCCTCAGAAAAGGTGGCACATGGCTCATGGAGCACAGGCAGGGGACAGCAGATCCAGGAGCCTTGAATCCAAGTGACCCCAAAGAGTGACAGATTGTGTGTTCCACGAGGGGGTCAGGACGACAGAAAGTAAGTCACAGAGCCATAGCTGATACAGCATAGACGGAGGGTACTATGTATTCACTCATTCAGCATCTACGGAATGAAGGAAGACCTGGGTTTAACTGAAAAATTTATCCATTACTTCTTCAGTCTACACCTTTCCTCTCAGAAGGAGACACAAGAAGGGAGTCCCTTCAGGTTGTTGTTGTTATTCTTGTTTTGTTCTGTTGTTGTCGTTGTCTCCAGAATATGGACCAGACAAAAGTACCCACACCTACCTTATTGGAGGACCAGAAGGACAAGGTTGGATTTTGTGTTGGGAAATACATTGTTCATTCCAGCACTCCCTAACCTAGTTTAATTGAATTTATAAAGCCAAGTCCACAATTACATCATACCACATACAAGCCAGGGACTTAAAATCTAAAACAGTTAGTTCCATTGATTCAAACAATTTAGTTTACGATGCAAACCAGGGGCGTTTCTAAATTTGTCAGTGAATATGTGTGAGAACATTTTCTCAGCAGGATTGTTGAGTTGGGGGAGTTGTTGGATAAAACTCAAGCAAAAGAGAGTTATTTTGGGCAGTTCAGCAACAAATTCTGTAGTATTTCCTATACATCTGAAGAATTTCACACCTTTCTAAATGACTAGGTGTGAAACATTGGAAGAAACTGAATTCACACGAGATTCCTTTGTGTCACTTGCACTCATGTTGACGAAAGTGACCCCATCACAGTTATTTGTCTTTGATGAAGATATCCTTAAAGATTTTCTTTATCAGATGCTCGGTAATGAGGGTTTAAAATGCTTGCTTTTTGTGTGTATATATTCAAAGATGAAAACTGTAACAATGAGTGGGCACTTAATAGCTCACCAAGTTCTGAAAATTTCCTTTAGTTTAGAATTTGGTATTATTTTGGAGGTGTGTATAACCTATAGTCATTTGTTATACATTCCCTATATATTGTGGTGGATATAAGAACAGTACAAAATTACATATTATCTATCAGCAATGCTCTGTGAATGTCTATTTCATGGGTCAACACAAGTTTCTTGTTTTCATGCCTTCATTGTTCCTCTACTTACTGTTCAATAGCTGTTTGGTCTTAGTAATACATAATTTTGGGCCAGGAGTTGGTGGCTCATGCCTTTAATCCCAGCACTCAGGAGATATAGGCAGATGGATCTCTGTGAGTTCAAGGCCAGCCTGATCTACAAGAGCTAGATACAGGACAGGCTCCAAAACAATACAGAGAAACACTGTCTCAGAAAACAAACAAACAAAAAAGAAATACATAATTTTAATGCTTGGCCTTGGTGGACTACTTCATTGATCCCAATACTTGGGAGGCAGGTGAATCTCGATTTAGATAGTTAGTTCCAGGATAGCAAGGTCTACACAGAGAAACCTTGTCTTAAAAAAGCAAAAACAAACAACAAAGGAAATAAGTAATTTTTCCATTGAGTGACAAATTTGTTGTCTCTGCAAAATTTGTATAATGCACAGATGAACCTGCAGGTTTTTTTTTTTTTATCACTGTTTTAGGTATATATTTTCTTGTCATTCAAATAAAACATAAGATACTGATCTGAATTTTTGAGATGTGATTTTCTTTTTAGACCATATACTTCTTGTGCAGCGTATCTTTTGTACCCTCCAAAATAAAACTATGTGGAGAATAAAAAAATTTGTAGTTAGAAGCTGAAATTCAGAAAGTCACAATTAACTTCTCCTATCCCTGATTTTTTACTTTAGAATTTCATTCATGTCCGGATGTATAATATCTCTGTTAATACAATGCCCTTACAACCTGCTTAGCTATTAAACCTCAAGTAATATGTCATTGTGTGTATGTTCTATGGTTGTGCCTCTTTTTCTAGTATAAGTATTAATTATTTCTACTATAATATTTTATCAACTATGTTAGTGCATGTAGAATTTGAAATGTACTGTAGTTTCTCACTTATGCTTTAGTAAATATGAGTAAATTATTTCTTTTTAAAAGATTAAATATGGAGAATATTTTCTAACTTTTGTCCGTATCTCAACTTTTGCTCAACAGGAACAACAACCAATGATTATAATGTTTATAAGACCATCAATTATAACCCATTAAGTATTCAACCACAGAGAATTTATACAAGTGAGAAGCCATACAAGTGCAAAGAATGTGGTAAGGTCCTTATTTCTTATAAAACACTTTCTGTACACCAGAGACTTCATACTGGAGAGAAACCCTACAAGTGTAAAGAATGTCATAAGGCCTTCAATACGCGCTCATCACTTTTTCTACACCAGAAAGATCATACTAATGAAAAAATGTACATGTGTGAAGAATGTGGCAAATTATTTTATTATCCTTCAATGCTGAAGCAACATCAAAGAATTCATTCAGAAGAGAAACCCTACAAGTGTGAACAATGTCACAGAGCCTTTCGTTATCATGCAAGCCTTAAGGACCACAAGGCAACTCATACTGGAGAGAAACTCTACAAGTGTAAACTGACTATAAAAGGATTTACTAAGCCTGCTCTCTTCATTGAGAACAAGACAGCTAATACTGCAGAGAAAGCCTATGAGGATGTAGAGTGTGGCAAGTGTTTTTTCTCATCTTCATCTCTTAGAAGACATCAAAGAATTCACTGTAGAGGCAATCTTTACAAGTGAGAAGAGTTTAGCGTGTGTTTTCACTCATGGGCATGTCTCAGAGGACATCAGTTCATACTGGAGAGAAACCATACAAGTGTGAGGAATGTCACAAAGCCTATCCGCATGTACCATCCTTCAGGGAACACAAGAGAGTTCACACTGGAGAGAAACCCTACAGTGATGACTTCTCCTTGCAGTAACCCCAACACTTTGTTCAAGCAGTGTGTTTGAAACTACCTTGATTAGTGGGTCTCTTTCTTCTGTAACTGTTCCATGACACCTTTACCATGTCATAACTTTGTCCATTGTTTGTCTGGAATCTGGCATTGGCTGTTGTTTCTCCCAGTGGAGTCATTCGAGCTCCTGGAATATCTCCCCTGGTGTGTAGGAAGCTCTGTCTCTCTGAGATAGCAGGTTTTCACCCAGCATCTGGCTCCTGAATTCTTATTGGTAAGATAAAAAGATAGAGCTTAGTTAACCCAACCTGAAGGCTCCTCTGGTCTAAGGCCTCAGGATCAAGGCAGCAGAAGCAGCTGCAGAGGCCCAGTCATCAGGTGAGGCAGCTAGAGTATCAGGTGCAGCTGCTATGCCTCAGATAAAAAACAGTGTCTGTAATGCAATAATGGCAGGAAAGTTATGAGAGTAATCAGTCATTTTCTGACTGGATTTAAAACTTATTCCATAAACAGTAATTGATGTGTTATTAATTTAGTGACATAACTCTGCCTGGTTAGGTGGTAAGCCCTAAAAAGAATTTGATACTAATTGAAATTAATTCTAGTAAGTTGATATAAACTAAATGAACCTTGGGTCTCATTTTTATAAGCATGGAGTTAGGCACCTCTCAGCACCCACCAGAAAATATTGTGCTGTAGATGGAGAATAATCATAAATGTAAATTAGTCCAAATATAGAGACTATATTTGGAGTGCCCGGATCTGAAAGTGACACCTGTGTCACACATTGTAAAAAGTTGCTTACACACATCTAAGGCCAAGTCAGGGAGTCCTGAAGGAGAAGCGAGAGAAGGAATGTCAGACCAGATATAGTAGATGTCTGCAGTGTGACAGTGAAATGTTGAGACATTTCTAGAACAGTGACACACTGCTAGACATGTCAGTACCATTTCATGCCTGAACACACTGTGACTGTTACTAGACATTTCAGTACCATTTCATGCCTGAACACTGACTGTTACTAGACATTTCAGTACCATTTCATGCCTGAACACACTGACTGTTACTAGGCATGTCAGTACTGTTTCATGCTTGAACATACTATGACTGTTACTAGACAACACTTACACAAGCTGAACCCCATCATGCATGAGGGCCCACTATACTTCACCCTGAGTGGAAAAGCGATTGGCAATTGATGGCTCCAACTGTCCTACACCTCTACATAGGAGAGAGTGCTAAGTGGAATGAATAAATAACCCCCCCCAAAAAGAGAGAGAGAGAGAGAGAGTAAGGTGATTTTAATTAAGGGATATAACTAGTCGGCAAAGGAATATAGAGATGTGAATAAAATATTATATAAGTATTGAATTCTCCCAAAATATTATTTTATACCATGATGATTTTGAACATCTAAATGTGACCTATTTTGGCAGTGATGACAGGACATGACTGTGGTTGTCTTAAAGTTTACAGACACACAGCTACTAGAAAGGCATCTTGAGAGATCAAGTACGATGATTCCCAGAATGGCTCAGATGCTGAGGACTCAGGGCCCCTCAGCAGTGTATCCTCTGGAAATATAGGGGAATGCCTTTGCCAAGATGAGATGTGACCAGACTCTCCTAGTAGCTTCCTGTTGGCTTTGCCATGAGTACCACAGAGGAACGAGGATCAGTGGCCTCCCCATCCTCCTTCCTACATCCATAGAGATCACAGCTGCTTTGGTCCCTGGTTATCCATCAGTATTAGAGTTAGGAAGGAAATACAGCAGTCAACTGATTTTGCTGTGTAGAAAGAAGACAACACATCACATACCTTCTATCATTGAGTTTTGTTAAAAATAGTTTATTAACGTGTAAATGTCATATGTACTTTTGAGATAATAGAGAAATGAATGAACCTCAATATTACATGGCCGAGTATGCTTCCAGATTTAATTTCCATTATAGGTAACACAAAGGAAGTCTCTGTTTTTTTAATAATGTCTAAGATGTGGTCAGCAAAGCACCTTAAACTAAGGTCAGGTTTGCTGTGTATGTGAGTCTATGTTTTTGTCTTGCTTGGAGTCTTTGCAGACCTAGTTAGTAATTTCCTTAGAACACAAGAGGGAGATTTCCTTATGAATGGAAGTAACCTTAATGGATATACACTTGTGTTGTATGATATTTTTGCTCTTTGGGAGGCCTACCACACCTCACTCATATCAGTCACACACGGAGTCCTATTATTGTATATCAATGCCCGAACTCATTTTGACTTGCTTCTTGCCAGCTTTTCTTGATTTACATTACCCAGTGTCCCTTTCTCTTCTCTCAGTCTTACTCTTTGTCTATGGCTTGTTATGTGGGAAGGTGGCTGGCCCCTGATAGCCTCTGTCTCTGTCTACCCCTTTTCTCTTTCTCACACCTCCCTTACTCTCCTTCTATACGTCCTCTCTGTCAGCCCCTCACCCTCTTTCTCCTGCCTCTCTATGGGCCATTCAGTTATTTGTCTATCAGGTGTTTTAGAGAGGCACAGAAGCACATCTTCATAGAGTTCAACAAGTGCAACATAAAGAAAAGTAACACACCTTAAAATATTATTCTACAACAGCCACTCGTAAAGAAATACACTGCATGTTCTACCTCATGTGTAATCCACACAATAATACATGTGCGTATGTGAAGAGATAGCTATGTGGGTACAGCATGTAAAGTGGAAAAGAGAATGAAGTTTGAATGTTAGGAATGAGGAAGGATTTAAAGCAGGTAATGAACATGGGTTGTGAAAGAAGACATACGGCAACTATTTTCAGGTTGCAACTCCGTCATGGGTTTTAGTATTCATGTAAGTACATGTAATATATATGCAGTGCACACAGTGTCAAATCCAATGTGAAAGCCTCAGATTGTTTTGAATGTCCTCTGTAGTGTTACAGGCTTTCTCTTGGGCCACCAACCAGCTCCCACTTCATGACAAGGGGACTTACTAGTTATGACTGCTCTGCCTCCTAGCTTAGGCTTGCTTCTTGCTTGCTCTTTTAACTTAACCTGTTTCTCTTCATTTACATTTTGCCTCAGGGCTCTTTACCCTTCCTTTTCTCTGTGTGACTTGCTTTCCTGTATTCTCCAAGGCTGGAGGCTTGACTTGTCTCTCTCCCTTTTCCTTTTCACCTTTTCCTACAGCCCAGATTTCTCTTCCTATTTACTGTCTCTGTGGTCCAACCCCACCTGTCCTCCCCCTGCCTAGCTATTGGTCATTCAGCTTTTTATTATGCGAATCAGGTGCCTTAGGCAGGCAAGATGAAACAAATGCAACGCATCTCTACATCTTCACATCAGTACCGAAGGCAGCAGATACAGCTGCAACACATCTTTACAGTTAAGGTAACATTCCACAGCATAAACAAATGAAGGATTATCAGGGGCTAGCCTCCCTGCTACACAGCCAGCCATGGAGGAAGATTGAAAGACTACAAGAAGTAAGAAAAGGAAAAGGCCAGAGGCAAAAGATAGATGGGGTAAATTAAGCAAAGCTGGCAAGAAACAAACCAAGCTTAGGCCAAACATTTATAATTGAGGAGGGGGGAAAAGCCTCTGTGTGTTTACTTGGGATCTGGGTGTAAAAAAAAAAAAAAAATGACAACAACATTTTGGTGTATCAACATGGGCCTTGGATTTCCATAGGGCATGAGAAAGCTTGAGGAAAAGAAAAAAAGGATAGGGCTCCCTAAGAGAGTCTGCCTGCTAGGGAGCCCTCGAGAAGCCAGTATGTGAAGTAGGAAGAAATTAAAAATGCCTGCCATGCTGCAAACACTGGCATCTAGAACTCTAAGAAGGTTTAGCACAGACTTGGTCATAAACCCCCATCCATACTTGGAGCTTCAGTCTTCACTTTCACAGCTTTAGAAGTGATGGTGATGTTGCCAAAGCCTCAAGCTAAGCACTTAGTTTATAGTTTGTTCATGAGGTCAACAACGCTAAAAGATATGCAATAAAGAGGTCCAGACGAAAAACAATGCTGTAGGCTTGAGAAAGAAAAGAAAATGGGTATAGACTCTCACAGAAAGAAGTTAAAAAAAAAAAAAAAAAAAAAAGCTTTTAAAGTGAATGGTAAAATAATATAAAAGAAAAAAGACACCTAAGAAGGGAAATACATAGGGTGTTTGGATCCTGTGTGTTATTGTGTTGAGTTTGAATGTTTTGATTGTTGACAAGCAAACAATAGCTGCTAAAAGGCATAGGATTGTGGACTAGACTACAAAATATTTAAAAAAGAAGTAAAAACAAATAAACAAAGAAAACCCTGTATTTTTCAAGTAGAAATAAATGCTTTGGGGTTTTGTTTCCACAGGAGATGAGAGGCTGTGGATTCCTTCAGGGTTAATATGGATCGGGTTTGATCAGGCAGGACCACCTGAATTTTGACAGGTGATATCTGTGAACAAAGATTATAGTGGGTCTTCCCAGGACTTGGTCATTATCTCAAATTTTCTCTCTGGGACCCTAAATACACGTCCTTCACAGACAGCAGAAAGTATTGTAGAGAAAGCAAGGTCCATGTTCCCAAGATTTCCAGGTTGTGGATGGTCTTTGGTTATTTGGTGGGTCATGGATGTTTGTTATCATTTAGGGGAATATAGTATATTGATACAAATTTAAAGTTATTTTTGTTACACTATATATGTTTTTACTCGTGGTGTGTGTGTGTGTGTGTGTGATAAGCAAGCATGCATTTATATTTGTTAACTTCTTTTCCATTAGTATGTTGTTAGGCATTTATGTTG